ATGAATTGAATTGTAAGAATAATTCTTATAAAGAGTTTATAAAGAACTTTCAGCCAAAACAACAATCAAAAATAGCTATGTGGATCATGTTAGTTCAGTAGGAGATCCTATACTGAGGATCAGGAAGGCTTCTATTCCAAACATATGCAATTAAAAGGGGTCCAGACCATCTCTAGACGTGGTCTGAGTGAAAATGTTTTGAGTGCACATTGAGGCCATTCATTCCTGTATTTAGTGCTATTTCATTGTGATCATAAATGTCAGAATGTCTGAATTTAGCAACAAGTCTGAACAACTGATTAATTAATTCAACCTTTATTTAGACAGATTAATCCCATTGAGCCTTGAGGACTTATTTACAAGAGAGACCTGATTTCTTAACAAACGATAACAACAACAATAGACAGTCATACAATTTTATTTTTTTATTTTTTTTTACAAATTAAAACAAAATATCAACCAAAAGGACAATCAAGAGGAATAGTAGCAAAAAAAAAACAAAAACAAAAAAAAAAAACAGCTAGATTATAAGGTGATTTAGAAAACTAAAAACTGGAACATGTCTATATTGGTTCTTGCCAGGAGTCCAACAGATGCTTAAAGCCACTTAGAGAGGTCAAGGTCGAGGGCTTCAGATCTTTTTGCAAGATGTTCCAAGAAACAGTAGGAGAAGGCCCTTTTGCCTAGTTCAGTCCTCACTGGGTGAACACCGCATGTAATTATGTCCTGAGAGTGCACGCTGTAGCTGCACTCACACAGTGACATGTAGGAGGAGATGTATGAAGGCAGCAGACCGAGAAGTGATTTAAAGATGAAAATGTACCAGTGAGAGTCTGCGTGAGGTTGTTGATGTCCAGGTAACCAGTGAATACAGGGTGCAATGATGGGTACGGTTGTTGCAGCCAGTTATGAATCTTAATGCACCGTTATAGGCAGCATCCAGCATCTGCTTGTAGGAGCGTTCATATAGATAATGTCATCGTAGTCAATGCAGGGAAGGAAAGTCGCAGTTACAAGGTGTTTCCTAGCATTCAGAGTTAGACAGGATCTATTTCTGAAAAAGAATCCCAATTTAACTTTCAATTTCCTTACTAGGTTTTCCACGTGAAGCTTAAAAGAAAGATGCGAGTCGACCAAGATACCCAAATATTTAAAGGAATTGACAAACTAAATAGGGACTCCATTTGAGGATAAAATAAGAGGAAGAACTAATGGGACTGACTTCCTGTTGGAAAAAAAAAAAGCATCCCTTTGGTTTTATCGGAAACTACTTTGAGATTGTTAAACACATTTGAATAAAGCCAACACAACAATCAGTATGGCATACCAGTCCAGCTCAGCAGTCACAGACTGTCCTTTAGTAAAGAGCAAGAGGCGTCAATCTTCAGAAAAAAGTTAAACAGGAACTTGAGAAATTAAGATTAAACATTCTGGTAGACCTCAACAATAAAAACTATGAACCAGTAAACAACCAAAATGCTGGCTTTTTAAAATGGTTAGAAGCTAAGTTGTGAAATAATCATATAGGGTAATCTAACAACAAGATTCAGAGTACTTTTTAAAATACTTTTTTTCTGTATATTCTTACAGCTACGTGGTGTCAAAGCTGACTCCCCTGCAGGTGGACTTTGTTGAGTACATGGATGATTTAGCCAAGGATATTGGAGTACGACCCAGCCTCCTCTGGCTCCTCTTCACAGACTTCCCACTGTTCAAGAGGGTTTTTTGGGGGCCTGTCACTGCTTACCAGTACCGCTTAATGGGACCAGGGAAATGGGCTGGGGCCCGAAAGGCAATCTTCACCCAGTTAGACCGCATGTACCAGCCCCTAAAAACCAGAAAAGTATGAAATTGTTTTTTTATTATTTGATTATTTATTTTTGAAGCCTTTTCTAGAGTAATATTATTAATGTTAAATGTGCAGCAGTGTTTGTCAGTGTATTAGTTCTAAAAACATTCTAACTATAATTTTTTTGTTTGTCTTCTCTAGCTGGAGGTAGGCGAGAGTTCAACTACAGGCCGTCTGATCAAGTTGAGTTTGACTGTCATGGTTGGAGGAGCTGCACTCTACTATGTTCATGTTCGCAACCCCACCATCATCCCCATCCTAATGTCCAAATTTCATCTTCAAACAGTTTAAAAGAACTAAAAGTGTCTCATTCTTAATCTTTCTGAACAGAGAAAATGTTCTCTTTTTCCCAGATCTGCAGCAACCCTGTGATTTGAAACTGCAGTTCATTTTACAGTCAAATACAACACTAGCAACAACTACATCAGCTTGACCTGCACTGAAATAATGGTTCATAAAGTACTGTATCCAGTCTGCAATATTAAGAATGACATAAATGTTTATTGAATGTTAAAACAAAGATTGAAAAGAAATATTTGAAGATCAGACCCTTATCAAACTTGGTCAATGAAAGTAAGAATTATGGGTAAAGTGCAACGACTGCAGTAGTAAAGGTCCATTTTTTGCTCCCAAAGCTCAGTGAATAATTTTCTAATTATAAACTTGTTGCCTTCTCTATATTGTAAATGCCTGTATTTTACTTTCTTTTTACATAAATGAAGTCATGCTGTTTAATAATAGAGTATTGTTATTGTTTGCATGTATGAGAAAACATTTTCTCAGCTGAAGAACTATTTGTTCACATTAAATGAAAACATTCAACTCGCACAATATTCACAAAAAGATAAATATTGATTACTGAATTATTCTCTCCTGTGTTCATTTCTTTTTCAGATATGACTTACCTTTTTCATCATGCAGTACAAAAATCCTTTAAGAAGAATTGGTTTAATAAACGTTTTAGCAGTTTGAAACTTGAAACAATCAGGGTTTTTTTTAAGTTGAGTTCTGTTTAAGGGTTATTAATGTACAGACCCTTTCCAAAAAATTAGAATATCATTGAAAAGTTGTTTAACTTCCATAATTCCATTCAAAAAGATAATATTTAATAGATGATAGATTCAGGGCCCACAATTTAAATAATTTCAAGTATCTATTTGTTTATTTATACATAATTTGGTCTTCCAGCTCATGAAACCCACGAAAACAGGATTTCAAAAAATTAGAATACTGTGGAGAAATCAGCCCAAATTTTTCAGGGCATGAATGTTTTAAACAGAGTGTGACACACTAATCATCTACTAAACTCAAAGCACCTGCACAGGTTTCTCCAGGTGTCATTAAATTGCTTCATTTTGGTTCAATTGTCTCAGTTCGGTTCAATATGGGGAAGACTGCGGACATAACTGGCCAGAAGACCATCATTGATACCCTCCATAGGATGGGTGAGCCACAAAAGTTCATAACTAAGGAGGCTGGTTGTTCACAGAGTGCTGTGTCCAAGCATATCAATGGAAAGTAGTGGAAGGGCAAAATGTGGCAGGAGAAGATGCACCAGCAAAATAGATGACTGTGGGATTCAGTGGATTATCAAACAGAGAAGATTCCAGAATCTGGCAGAGATCCAGAAAGAGTAGAATGAGGCGGGAGTCACAGCTTCAAAAAACACCACGTTCAGATGCATCCGGGAGATGGGCTACAACTGTTGGGTTCATCGGTCCTCTTTTCCGATGAAAGTAAAGTGTTCCTTTCATTCGGAAATCAAGGTCCAAGGGGCTGGAGGAAGAAGGGTGAGGAACAGAGCCCATACTGCTTGAGGTCCAGTGTGAAATATCTATAGTCAGTTATGATTTGGGGTGCAATGTCCAGTGCAGGTGTTGGTAAACTCTGCTTTCTTTAATCCAAAGTCACCGCAACAGTCAACCAGAATGTTTTAGAGGACTTCATGATTCCTTCTGCTGAGGATCTGTATGGAGATGCAAATTTCATCTTCCAGCAGGGCCTGGTCGCTGCCCATGCCGCAAGAAGCACCAAAACCTATTTTGATGCCCATGCCACAGTGCTTGACTGGCCAGCCAACTGGCCAGACCTAAACCCCATTGAGAATCTATGATGTATTGTCAAGAGGAAAATGAAGATCACCAGACCCAACAACAAAGAAGAGCTGACAGTAAGCATCAAGGAAATCTGGGCTTCCATAACTCCCAGTCAATGCCACAGACTGATTGTCTCAATGCAACGTCACATCGATGCAGTGATTAAGGCAAAGGGATTCCCAACCAAGTATTAAAGATTGACATATTGTTTTAAAAGTACCAAATTTTGATTGA